TTAATGTCCATGAATTAGTAATTCCTTAACAGTATATCCGGTACCAATGCATTTTGATGGGTCATTACCAATCCAGATCTACTGGTTCCATCCTGGGCTGGGAAAGCCACATTGCTAATATTGAGGGTGAGGTTTCAGTGATTTTGTTCAGAATGAGTGCTACCTGAAGGGAAGTATTTTGTATGGAAATTCTTACTTCCTGTAATATGTAAGTGCCTACCTACATCAAAGACCACAGAAGAATGCTGACATTCTACCCACTGAGTGAATCTTAACACTCAGAGTAGGCTTTTTAGTTGTCTTCCAAGAAGACATTCCTGGAGCATCTGGGTGGTTCAGTGGTTGAGTGTCTGCCTTCAGCTCAGGGTGTGATCCCGGGGTCCTGGGATCAAGTCCCACATCGGGCTCCCTGCATGGAGCCTGCTTCTCCCTCTGCCTGTCTCTCTCTCTCTCTCTGTCTCATGAATAAAAAAAAATAAAATAAAATCAAGAAGACATTACTTCACTAAGGAAGTAAGATGCTCCTGGCAAGCCAATTTGAACATTTAATCTGTTGAGTAAAAAACCAAATGGATAAACAGGGAATACTGCTGGATATAAGCCCTGATTTCAGATCTGTTTCACTAAAATCAAATAAAAAGGTGCCTGATGCAGGGTACAGGATGGGTATTCAACTAGCAGAGCTCTCATGTCCCTGAATACTTCTTAACTTCTTTGGGCCTCAATTTTCTTAACTGTCAATTGAGGTCCCTAACCCAAGTTATCTCTAAATTCTCAAAAGTTGGGAAGCAAGTAACTTTACTACACTAAACTGGGTTCTTTAACAATTCCTTTAAAACAGGGTGCCTGGGCAGTTCAGTGGTTGAGCGTCTGCCTTTGGCTCAGGTCATGACCTGGGATGAAATCCTGCACCGGGCTCCCTGCATGGAGCCTGCTTCTCCCTCTGCCTGTGTCTCTGCCTCTCTGTGTGTGTGTATAATCATGAATAAATAAATAAAATCTTTTAAAAAATTCCTTTAAAACAAAAGAATCTGTCTTCTGTTCAACTTCTTTAGGGCATCATTCTTGTTCACCAGCATCTTTTCTATTGACCGCCTGTGCCCTCTAGTGATGAACTTAATTTTACAACAGAATTGGCAAAGGAAACAATCTGCTCCAGAGGAGTAAATGGGGGAAAGCAGCAACGATGCAGTAGATAAAATCAATTCAAGCAAAAGAAAGGGAGGCCAAAGATGTAGGGAAAAAGAGATGGAAAGAAGCCAAATGGCCATCACTTTCTGCAGTGTACCTATGACTGTGCCTTCAGAACAAACACCGTAAAGAAGTTACCTCTACAATTACCTCTAGTGAAGAAAACAATCATGCTCCTGAATATAAAGGTTTTTCAGGTATGATTGGAATACCCTTCTTCCTCACGTTAAGATCTAGAAACAGTTTCTTTTTCACTTAGCAAGACAAATGATATATTAAGACTTCTGGAAAGTATCTGTTACATACCTAATGTGGATAATTAACATATGCTTTGAATGCACTTGTCAAGGAGGTGCTAAGACATCAAATTATGCATTGCCAGTCTCACCTGTTCATGGATTTACCAATGGGGATGGGTTCTGATTAAAATCACATAGTATGTTTGGCTTAAGCAAAGTCCCCAGGCTTCTAAGTAACATTCCTTGGTGTCATGGACAAAAAAACGTACAACTGGTCTTTCTCCTCTCAAATAATTGTTAACAAACATCAGGGCCCTTCCTGGCAATAAATTGTATCTTTCTACAAATGCTGTGACTTTCTTCAAGCACAGGTACAGAAAGAAGAACTGCATTTCAAGGATACCAATAGAGATTTAGGTTGAACAAGAAAGAGGTCTTCTTAACCATGCTGTTGTTATTGATACATGGGTGAGAGGTTAAAGAATCTTTTGAAATCTTGAAGAGGAGGAAACAAAATCTTTACTTATCTGGAGTCATGCTAACCATAAATGAAACACAAGATACAGATAAAAACCACTGAAGTTTCCTTTTTTTTTAAAGCATTTTTTTTAAAAAAATTTATTTATTCATGAGAGACACAGAGAGAGAGAGAGAGAGAGAGAGAGAAAGGAAGGGAAACAGGGAGAGAGAGAGAGGCAGAGACACAGGCAGAGGGAGAAGCAGGCTCCATGCAGGGAGCCTGATGTGGGACTCAATCCCGAGGCCCCAGGATCACGCCCTGGGCTGCAGGCAGTGCTAAACCGCTGAGCCACCTGGGCAGCCCTGAAATTTCCTTTCTATTCTTAAAATGAAATATGACTGTATGATTCATATATATGAAGTTCAAGAAGTGGCAATATTAATCGCATGGTGACAGAAATCAGAAGAATGGTTGCCTCTTGGGACAGGGCCGGGGGCATGAGGGAACTTTTCTAGGTGATGGAGAAGTTCTATATCTTGATGTGAGTATTGTTTTCACTGGTGTATACAATTGTCAAAACTCACCAAATAGTACACTTAAGATCTGTGAAGTTTGTTGATTGTAAGTCATATATATATATTTTATATATACAAATACAAAATATGCCAGAGTCTTGGGAAGAGTTAACTTTAAAAATGCCACCACCATTCTTTAGGAACAGGCTAAGAAAGAGAAGGGAGCTGTCAGGACGTCAACAGCATACATAGTCTTACTAAATCAAAAACCAAGGAAAGTGAATTGTCCTGGCTTCTCAGCAGTATCCACGCTGATTAGCTAGCAGTGCTAATTCAACAGAGCGCCCCTCCCTTGGCTGGTGCAATTCTGTGCCGATGGAAGGCCATTTGGGGGTGGGGTGGGGAGAAAGCCAGGTTCTAAGAGACAACTGACTGTCTTCAAGTAGAACTGCAGCTTACACTGGGCTATGCATGGCCCAGCATGTTGCTCTGCAGGTCCATATGATGATCATGGCATCATGCCTGCTGGTGTTAGAAGAGGGTACTTGGGAGAAAAACAGGTAAGTGCTGTTGTTTTTTTGCCCTCTTCAGTTAAGCAATGCTAAGGCTGTAATCCTATCTAACAAAAGCCATACGAGGCTGAGGCCGTGGCCGGGCTGGTTGCTCACCTGGGCTGGCCTAGCTCCTCTCACGTAGTCTGCAGTGGAGGAGATGGCGAAGGCCAGATAAGTGGCTCACTGCAATACACTGGGGTGATGAACCAAGCAAACACAAGGCCTTTAAAGGATTCCTCGCCCTGTGCTGACTTGTCACCAGTCTTTCCTTCTACGTGGTGGTAGGGCTGGAGAATGGCACCTGGGATATCCTTGTACCAATTCTGGTTTGCCTGCATACATTCAGAATTACCTCCAAGAGATAACAGACTGCGCATTCTTCTCAAGATTCACACTGGAGTCTGCTTGACACACGGCAGACACTAACAGATGCCTCAAGGAACTGGGTGAGCGAAGTGTTTTTCAGGTGGACAAAGCACTTTCTCATCAAACCTCAACAGTTTCTGCTCCTCCTCACCAAACAGAAAGTCTTTTCTATAATTTTAATTCAGTGGTCCTAAGATGAAATACTCTGGGAAGGACTGATTCAGGAACCCCTTGGCTTTCCTTCCCTGGTGCCGTATGTTAGGATCTTCCCATGCCAAGGGGTTTGGAAAGGTAGAGACACAGATGTTCACTGACAAAAGACATTTTGTCACAACCACACCATCCTTGTTGTCATTCCCTTTATGGATTTCAACGGCTCCTATAACCTCTAAGGATTAGAGTCCATTTCAGTTCTCTGTAATCCATTATTCAGATTCTCTCTTTAGGTATCTCATCATTCCCCGAAGCAACTTTCCTACATCCACTCTTTACATCTCCAAAAGGCTTTCCCGGCCTTTCAGTGGAAGAACTGAAGAGTTGCTGTTATTTCTGCATGTGCATGAACCTCTTTGTGGTATTTCCACCTGACATGGCTCATCTTTGTGAGTGGCCTAGTTTCAGCTAAGGGTGGGGACTTCACACCTACGTCAGCACTAATCATCAGGGTATTATTGCCTTCCGCGGGGCTGCTACTGATCGCTTTGGATCTTGATTAAAATATAGGCAGGTCAATGACATAATATAGTATTATTTCTATTTCCTCTGCTAAGAATGAGTTGTTGATTTTCAGTATAGTGTATCAAATATACTTTTTTTTTTTTAAGTAGACCACACTGGATATGAAGCCCGCTTAAGATTCTCTCTCCCTTCCCTTCCACTCCTCCCCAACCTCTTAAAAAAAAAAAAAAAAGAGTTGGACTATTAACCAACTGAGCCACCCAGAAGCCCCTCAAATATATTCTGAGAACATACTTTCAACTAACTACAGGATATAAAAAGGGCATCATGTTACATAATCTCCAATAGAAATGCATATGTAGTTTCAATTCATTTAGTCAAAACGAAATTCCTTCCTTCCTTCCTGAAAAATAGTACTGATAAGGAAATCACCAACTTTCTGTCATGTTTGAGGGGCTTTCAGGAACCCGGAATATCAGGAAAGCTGGGCCCAGGTTATCTGCTACAGAGAAAAGTTGGATGCCAGGCCTGAGTTGTAGAAGAGTCAAGAGTTCAACCTTATTTCAAAGTCAAATATAAGCGACTTATGGATTATGTGATGTTTACATGCTTCACATTTATGTCCCTTTCTGTATATAAGTACAGATCATAGAAACAATAGTATCACTCTTCACTTTTCTTCCAAAGATTTCAAAGTACTTTGTACAATTGAATGACATACAAGAGAGAAAAGCAGACAGGCAGATGCTAGAACTGTGTCAGGGATCAGCAGAAGGCACAGAGAAGTGCAGGACACTTGCTTAAGAGCATGGGTATTGTTATGGCATCCGAGACAATGTACCATCAACTAACACCTGCCACATTTCTTGAAGCAACATCTATCTTCAAACCCTTCCTCTTTTCAAATCTGCACAGGACCTGCTCTTTTCTATTAAAATTGTATGCACATGAGAAAGGTTGAAGCAAAAGGGACATGCCTCACTGGCTTGCCACTTACCAGTGCTTCTTTTACTTCTTCAGAGACGTCAGTTTCATCTTCCTGAAAGGAAGGAGGGAGAAAAACAAGAGGACCATGGTCACAGACATCCTTGAAAGCAACAAGGTCAGCTCCCATCAATTATGCATCCTGGCATTTCAAACGCGGGCAGTGAGAACTGACTGCCGAGTGATGCTCTGTTACTGCTGCTTTTAACAGTCACCATAGGCAGACAGCTCCAGAACATCGCCTGTCATCAAAAATGTCAAATAAACATGGCAGGAAAGGAGTATCTTTAGAAAGGACAGGCTTTATTTCAACTCTATCAATAGTTATCAGTCTATTTGGTCCTATAAAAATGAGATACTTTTATCTTAAAAATAGTATTTTTTATTTATTTTTTAAAGATTTATTTATTTATTTTATGAGAGAGAGAGAGAGAGAGAGAGAGAGAGAGGGGCAGAGGGGAGAAACAGGCTCCATGCCGGGAGCCCAATGCAGAACTCGATCCCGGGGCTCCAGGATCGCGTCCTGGGCCAAAGGCAGGCGCTAAACCACTGAGCCACCCAGGGATCCCCTTAAAAATAGTTTCTAATAGATGACTATTACTGTTTCATTTCTGTCTCACTGAAAGGTTCATCTAATTTTCAAATAAAGTCACTGGTAGCCAGGGACCTCCTGATTCTTGGTCACTTGACTTTTAAAATGCCAAAATTGAGGGCATTGAGGGGCAATGAGGGCACCTTGGTGGCTCAGTCGGTTAAGCATCTGCCTTCAGCTCAGGTCATGATCCCAGGGCCCTGGGATTGAGTCCTGCTTCAGGCTCTCTGCTCAATGGAGAGTCCGCTTCTCCCTCTGCCCTAACCCCCTGCTTGTACTCTCTCTCTCACTCTCATAAATAAATAAATAAATAAATAAATAAATAAATAAATAAATAAATAAATAGAATCTTTTTAAAAAATCTAAAAAAATAAAATGCCAATAACAAAATTGGAGACAGGTAAAGAACAAGAGGGTGATTTAAAGTACTGAATGTGTGCTTGCAGTTAGTAAGCACTGGTATAGCTGTCTTTATTTTAAAGCCATAGTTTATCTGTTTTATATATATATTTTTTCCTTCAAAAGAGTAAAACTGAGTCAGATGAACTTGTGTTACTAACAGATTTTACGTTCCTTGAAATTCTTGCAATGCTCCTAAAATATTTTGTTAGAATTTCTGATTACATGTGATAATACTGTTGACTAACCAACCGCATGACTTTCTGAGAATATTAGGGAGAATTGCTGATATTTGACAGGCTTATTCACTTGTTGTATTTGTTTATATGGTTGTTGTAGATTTCTGGCCTTTTCATTCATTCTTCACCACTTATCTCCTGAGTGCCTACTACATGCCTGGCACTGTTCTAGGCCTGAGGCATCCAGCCAAGAATATACCAAAGGAGCCCCACCCTAGGTGAGTCCTTCTTCTTCTCCTTCCTTGGTAGTAGTTCTTGATAATCTGCAAGATTCATGGGACCACATGGAGCCCTTTCTCTTTTTTTGAACTCAACAAAAAGGACAGCATCCACAGGAACAAAAAGGATGGCATTCATGAGTGATGTGACATGTCCCAACACAGACCAATTCACTTACATCTTTTGTCCAGAAATTGATGCCTGTGCCTCGTCGTCGCTCCTTGGGCCGCCTCCTCTCACGGATGGACAGTCTATTAGAGGACTGATCATCCACATCTGCTTCTTCACTCTCTGGTCAGAGATAAAACAAAGTGTGATCTCAGGGACTGGGGGGCATGTCCACTAAGGGGGGAGGCCGTATATTCTGAAGCTCTACACACCATTTTTGTCCATTTCCTTTGCAACTGCAGTGTTTGGGGTGGTCTCTGTGCTCTCAGAGTCAGGGACTGAAGATCTGCTTGTCCGTAGCAGATGGGAACTGGTGTAGAGAGAGGGTCTTGAGGCAGAAGGAGACACTGGTGTTGTGGGTTTGTCTGGCTGAGCTGTATACCTCAGGCGACGATAGACAGGCTGGAAATAATCCACAGGATAAGATGGTAGAGGTCAAGTCCAACCAACGGATAAGGATGGCAGGCTTATTAAATATGGGCTTTTTTTTTTAATATACCAAGAGGCTTCTTAATAGTAGATGCACAATAGATAGCTACTGGGCTGAACTAAAGTTAGTTAATTAGCCAGAAAGGAAACAGCTTCTGGAATCCTATTCTGATAACACCATCACGCTGATAGTAGTAGCCCAGGAAATACAAACCTTGTTAATAAAAATCCCTTTGATTCTGGAATGAAAATAAGAAGGATGATGGCCTTTTTAAGAGGTAACAATGAAAGGGAAGATTTATATAGAAAAATAAAAAGCCTGGGAATATGAAGAAATAATACAGAATTATCTGAAAACAGAGACCAAATATGAACATTCTACCAATTTCTGAAAACTCTACCAACCTGCCATAACCAGGCTTATTGAAACTTTAAAAACATTGCCATTTTCCACCTTGAATTTTTTCCCCAAGGAGAAAGATAGAGTATGACAATAAGCCTTAACTTGGTTTATTGAAGATGAAGATAGAGAAATTCTTACTACATGTAGAGATTGTATACTTTTTGTTTATAAAGACAAGCAATGAAATATAGTAAACTCTAGAATCATAAAGAACTTGGTTCCAATTCTAGCTTCAGCATTTACTAGCTGTGTGGCCTCGAATAAGTTACTTAACTTCTCTGAGCCTCAGCTTTCTCTTATGTAAAATAGGGATAATACCTTCCTCAGAGAGGGTTTTGAGGATTATACAAGATAATGTACGTCAGGTGCTTAGGACAGTAGCGAGTAATAAGTAATAAACAGTAGCTGACAGAACAAATAAACAAAGCAACCTCAGTTTATGTAGCCTAGCCATTCAGAACTGGAGCAAGGAGATTCCTTTCACCTCTGACTATGGTGATGGGAAAATTTATCATCCCAGTTGACACACTTCTGAGAGCGAAGATGAATGGTTACCAATAATTACACTAAGGTAACAGGTGTAATTTGAACCATCTTAGGTAAACTAGGAGTTATGTTTACCCTAAATATTACCGTATACCTTTAACTACCAACTCCACTTAAGGGAACGGAGGTTAAAAATAGTGACATCTTGTGGCAGGGGGATTAAGGGGTGCTGCTTTGTAAACTCAGGTTTGTAGGGATTTCGAGAACAATATAATCATGGTGGAGAGAGTGCTCTGGGAGCCCGACTGCCTATGTGCAAGTTCCTGCTTAACCACTTGTCATCTGTGTGAAATGCCGGGCAAGTTACTTAACCTCTCTGTGACCTGATTTCTTCACATTTACAATATGAATAATAATACTGACCCCAGAGGGGAGTTTTGAGGATTAAATGGATTAATGCATATGAAATAGTTGAAATAAGCCCTGGTATAAAATAGACACTCAATAAATCCTCACATTTCTATTTGTGTTTTTATTATACTATAACCTCTCTCTTTAAAATGGAAAGATATCTTTAGTTAAAGAATACATTTAGTTAATGGAGCTTGTGGTTATCATTTCACAACATGTACATACATCAAATCCTCATGTACATAGTCTAAAATTGATAAAAGTTAGATGTCAATTCCATGTTACATGTCAACACCTCAACGGGATAAGACATAAGCATCAAATAGCTCCAAGCACAAAACGATGACGGAAGGACAGATATCCTCTGAGTTCTTTCAGTCACACAGGCTTGCCAACTACAGACAGAGGTTAACAGAGCTCTCTGCGCTGGCTGTCCACTGCTACGTAGCGCTGTGCCTCAATTATCCATGAGGAGGCATTCCCCACGGCCACGACCCTGTTTTTAGCACAGTATGTGCCAGCAGAAGTGACTCACCTCTTCGTCCAGACTCCCGCTCCAGGGCTGACGGCCTTCACCAGCTTCCTTTGCTGGGGCTGCTGGGGGCTCATGCTTCTCCGAGCTGCCCTCAAGCCCTTCGGTGCCTGTGGGCTTCTGGCCAGGCTGCTCCTGAGCTTGCCGTTCTGCTCTTGACCGGCTGAAAGTCCTTTCTGCTTCTTGAAGGTCCGTCAGCGTCACACCCTGGGAAAATGACAAAAGGTCAAGGAAGTTTCACCCTAACTGTTGAATAACCCTTGATAAATGGGCAGGGAGACTGCCTTCAACGTCTAATAGTATCAAATTCCAAATGAAGCTCCCAAAATGTATGAGGCCATTTCAAGAAAGATATGCTTAAAATAAACACCTCAGTGTGCAGAGTCCCAGCCTGAGTCCAGGTACATTTCAAATGTAATGCTTCAGCTTTTCCAATTTGAGTTCCAGAAAATAGGGCATCCCTGATGACTGCCTGTTGTAGACTTATTTCTCTCATACCCTTAGTTCTCAATACCTTTATATGAAAGCTCCATACTCCCCAAGAGCAAATGGTTGCCAAGAGAGATTCTCTGAATAGTGGATAATAAGAAAAACTTGATTTTACTTGGAAAAGGAAAACCAGGCTCAAAAAGGTGAAAATTCAGAGGCAGGCTAGAACAGCAACAACAAAAACCAACCAACCAACCAACCAACCAACCAACCAACCAACCAACCAACAAGAATGACACCACTAAACTAGCTTTACTCTAAGATGATTTCCTTTTTTTTTTTTTAAGATTTTATTTATTTATTCATGACAGACACAGAGAGAGAGAGAGGTAGAGACACAGGCAGAGGGAGAAGCAGGCTCCATGCAGGAAGCCTGACAGGGGACTCGATCCCAGATCCCAGGATCACGACCTGAGCCAGAGGCAGGCGCCCAACCACTGAGCCACCCGGGCGTCCCTCTAAGATGATTTCCTAAGTAACTCTAGGAAAGTCACACAGAGACATTCCAACAATTGATATTTCCCTCAGGCTCTTAGGAGCAGCAGTATGGAAGAAAAGCAAGTGGGAGTCGTCTGCAGAAGAGAGGGGAAAGAGTTAGGGCTGGAGTAGGAGGACTCTAACTCGAGCATTTATGTGCTCAAGCCCTCAGGAGAAGAAAGTTCTGAAGCTGGAGGTAGTTAAGCACATATGATGACTTGTTTTAACTATTCATATATTTATTCACTCATTCTCTTAATAAATTATTAAGTGTCTTTAAGCATTGGAACTACAAAGACAAATAAACAATTGCTGCACTCAAAAACCTTTTAACCTAATGGAAAAGACATAAGAAAACAGATGAGTATAATGGAATGTTAAGTAATTAAGACAGAAACGTGATCCAGCAAATTCCACTTCTGAGTATTTACCCAAAAGAACTAAAAGCAGAGAATCAAAATAGATCGTTCGAACACCCATGCTCACAGCAATATTATTCACAATAGACAAAAGGTGTCCATCAGCCGGTGAATCAATCAGCAAACTATGGTCTAACCATACAGCGGAATACATGAAGAAGGGAATATTATGCAGCCCTAAAAAGGAATGACATTCTGACACATGCCACACAGACAAACCTTGAAGATATTATTTTAAGTGAAATAAGCCAGTCACCAAAGGACAAACGCTGTATGATTCCACCTGTGTCAAGTACTTAGATTAGTCAAATTCATAGAAATAAGAAGTAAAATGGTGGTTGCCAGAAGTTGTGGGGAGGGGGAATTATTGCTGAATATGTACAGAGTTTCACTTTGGGAAGATCAAAAATGTACTGGAGATGGATGGTGGTAATAGTTGCAAAATAATGTGAATGTACTTAATGCCACTGAACTGTACACTTAAAAAATGGTTAGAATGGCAAACTGCATGTTATGTATATTTTACCACAATAAATCAAACCAAACTAAAAAAATTATAGTCCGTCCTGGTCCCACATTCTAAGAGGGGAAAACAGAGATAATCAAGCAAAAACAAAGTAAGAGCTATCATAGTTAACACAAAAGAAGGGCACTTATTTTGGGAAAGTCAGGGAAGAAAAGGGTACATTTGTGGCTATTTATAAAGTCCCTTTCTGGGGCACCTGGGTGGCTCAGGTGGTTAAGCGTCTACCCTTGGCTCAGGTCATGATCCCAGGGTCCTGGGATGGAGCCCCACGTCGGGCTCCCTGCTCAGCGGACTCTGCTCTCCCTCTCTCTCTGCCCCTGCCCCTGCTTGTGCTCCCTCCCTCTCTCTCAAATAAATAAATAGTTAAAAAAAAATAAAGTCCGTTTCTTCAGTCCTCAGCTCTCCTGCTTAAACTCTGTAGCATTTAAAACTGTTTCCTTCAGCTTTTACCTGGAAACTGATTTTTCATGTACTCCTATGCTATTTCCTGGTTTACCTTTCATCTCTCTGGCTGCTCCTTTTAATTGTGCTTCATCAGCTTATCAACCTCTGCCTCCTTTTTTTTTTTTTTTAATATTTTCTTTATTTATTCATGAGAGAGAGTGAGAGAGAGAGGCAGAGACAGGCTGAGGGAGAAGCAGGCTCCATGCAGGGAGCCCGACGCGGAACTTGATCCCGGGACTCGGGGATCAGGCCCAGGCTGAAGGCAGGTGCTAAACCGCTGAGCCACCCAGGGATCCCCGATCCTCCACCTCCTTAATGCCAAGTCACAGCTTTCTCTCCCGTCTCCTTGCCATTGCATCCCGACTGAGTTCGTGGTCTTGTCCTCCTAGCTTGGACTACTGTGACAGCCTAACAGGTCTTCTTGTCTCCTGCCTTGACAAACATACTTTTGCCGACCACTCCCATCAATTCTCTGCATGGTGAATTTTGCAAAATATAACACAGATTGGGGCATCTGTTAAGTGTCCAACTTTTATTTATTATTTATTATTATTTTTATTTTTAGAGGGAGAGAGAGTGACTGAGCCATCCAGGTGCCCCATAGCCTCCGACTCTTGATCTCAGTTCAGGTCTTGATCTCTAAGTCATGAATTTAAGCCCCATACTGGACTCCACACTGGGCATGGAGAGTGTGTGTGTGTGTGTGTGTGTGTGTGTATTATATATATATATGCACACACTTATAATAAATGTTATATAAAAATACGTATTTTTATAAACGCAGGTTATATCAGACTCTTCTGCACTTCAATGGCTCCCTTAGGGATTTTTTTTTTTTATTTTAAAGATTTTATCCATTTATTCATGAGAGACACAGAGAAAAGGGCAGAGACACAGGCAGAGGGAGAAGCAGGCTCCATGCAGGGAGCCGGATGTGGGACTCGATCCCAGGACCCCAGGGTTAAGCCCTGGGCCGAAGGCAGACGCTCAGACACTGAGCTACCCAGGGATCCTGAATTGAAATAAAAATTTAAAAAGTAAAAGGATAAGGCAGATCTATAAAAAAATAAAAAATAATAAAAAATTAAAAAACAAAGCAGAAACAGACCTATAAATACAGAAAATAAACTTGTGGTTACCAGAGGTGAGACTGTAACTAATTTAACATTATATGGCAACTATACTTCAATAAAACAATAAATAAATTTTATAAACTTATAATTAAATTACATTAAAAGTAAAGGTAACAAATTCTAAAAAAAAAAAAAAAGAAAATCTTTATTGAAGGAGCAGCTGAGTGGCTCAGCTGGTTCAGTGTCCAACTCTTGATTTTGGCTCAGGTCATGAGCCCAGGGTCCTGAGATCAAGCTCTGTGCTCAGCAGGGAGTCTGCTTAACATTCTTTCTCTTCCTCTCCCTCTGCTCCTTCCTCCACCCTGTGCATGTACACACACTCTCTCTAATAAACAAATAAATCTTTAAAATAGATACCTTTATTGAAACCTAACTCCCATATTATAAAAACTACCCTTCTAAAGTATAGGCATACCTCAGAGATACTGAGGGTCTGGTTCCAGACCACCGTGATAAAGTGCGTATCACAATACAGTGATCACAAATATAAGTTTTTTGGTTTCCTGGTACACATAAAAGTTATGCTTACCCTATGCGGTGGTCTATTACGTGTGCAATATCATTATGTCCAAACAACAATGTACGTACACAGTTTAATTAAAAAATACTTAACTGCTAAAAAATGCTAACCATCATCTGAGATCTCAGGGAGTCATAGTCTTTTTGCTGGTGGAGGATCCTGCCTTTATGTTAAGGGCTGCTGACTGATAAGGGTGGCTGTGGCAATTTCTTACGATGCAACCACAATGAAGGAAATGTGCCACATTGCTTGATTCTTGCTCTCATGAACAATTTGTTTTTTTTCTTTTTTTTTTTTTTAGAAACTGTTTATTTGAACAATTTCTTGATAGCGTACGATGCTGTTTGACAGCATTTTACACCCACAGAACTGCTTTCAAAACTGGAGTCAATCCTTTCAAACCCTGCCACTTCTTTATCAACTAAGTTTACATAATATTCTAAATTCTTTGTCATCATTTCAACAATCTTCATAGCATCTTCACCAGGAGCAGGTTCCATCTCAAGAAACAACTTTTTCTGCTTGTCCGTAAGAAGCAACTTCTCACCTGTTTATGTTTGACCGTGACACTGTAGCCAGTCAGTCCCATCTTCAGGCTCCACTGCTAATTCTAGTCCCCTTACTATTTCCACCACAACTGCAGTGACATCCCCCACTGAACTCTGAACTTTCAAATTTGTTAAAAAAAAAAAAACAGCAGTATCTGTGAAGGGCTGTATGAGGTATGCCTGTATAGTTCCGTGGTTTTAGCATATTCAGAGCTGTGCAACCATCATCACCATCTCATTCCAGAATATTTCATCACCCCAAAAAGAAACTCCACATCCATCAGCAGTCACTCCCATTCCTCCCTCTCTCCCACCCCTGGCAGCCACTAATCTATTTTCTTTTCTTTTTCTTTTTTTAGAGAGAGTGAGAGTGAGGGGGGAGGGGCAGAAGGAGACGGAGAGAGAAAATCTTAGGTAGGCTCCATGTCTAGCACAGAGCCTGTTGTATGACCCTGAGCTCATTGCCTGCGCTGAAATCAAGAGTTGGACGCTTATCTGACTGAACTACCCAGATACCTCTCTAATCTATTTTCTATTTCTTTGGCTTTGCCTATTCTGGATATTTTCAGATAAATGGAATCATCTCTGATTTCTTTCACTTAACATGTTTTCCTAAGGTTCATGCACATTGCAGCATTAGCATGTATCAGGGCACTTCTTTTTATTACCAAATAAAATTCTATTATATGGATATATAATACTTTGTTTATCCATTCCTTTGTTAATGGAAATTTGTTTTCTTTTTTCCCCAGTTATGCTAACTGCTTAATTTATTTGGTCTGCTCGACGGCTCAGCCTATGCCCACCACTCCTACATCTGCTGAGAATAGCTGAGGCACACTTAGCCACACAAGGCTAAACCTTGCTGCTGCTGAGAGCTCAGGATTCAACCCTACAGCAAGCTTGCAAACTCCACACATGCGTAGTGGATGTCTACATAGCAAGTCCACTCTGGCCAGAGTTCAAAGATGACACTGAATTTGGAATTTAGGCTATTGTGAATAATGCTGTTATAAACATCTATGTACAAGTTTTTGTGTGGACATGTATTTTCATTTCTCTCGACTATATACCTAAGAGGAGAACTGATGGGTCACATGGTTAACTGTAGTATATACAACAATTTAAGGAACTGCCAAACTCTTCTCCTTTAGGGATTCTCAGGAATGTAGCTTTGTAAACACAAAAGGAATGAGTAATCTTGCAAAGGAAAAGAGATAAACCTGTTCTGAGCCTGGAGAAATAAAAGTGAGTGTGGGTAGATGTAGCTATAAATTTATCTGATACTCTGTAGTGTAAGACTTAACACAAGTGAAAACTTTTGCAACAGCGGCTGGAATAAGGCGCTCATCTTAAGATTTTTTAATTGTACTTCCAACAGAAAGGTAGACAAAATGACCTAAAAAAGAAGGTCACACTCACTTGAGTAGACCTTCGAGTCTGCCGAGCTTGTCTGGAGCGTGCTTTCCGTAAAGACTCTGCTTCCTCATCCCGTACGGGAGTCAGATACGACCTGTAGAGAAAAAAAAGTAACAGCACAAGTAAGACCCTTGCTGCACGTACTTGAGGCATGACAAGGTACTTCCACATACTGAAGTGATTTCTACATCTAAAAATGAACTTGCACACAATCAAAATGATAGAAATGCTATCAGTGAAAACTGCATAATCCAAGACATTACTTATACATGTATTACTCTTCACGCAGAATTATGTCATTTGTAAAATGAGAATTTCATTTCTTCTTTCCATATCCTTACAATTTTTCTTTTCTTGCTTTAATGCTCTGGCTAGAACCTCCAGGACATGCTGAAAAGGAGTGACGGCAGGAAGTTTCCACGCTTTGTTCTTGCCTTCAGAGAGAAAGCATTCAGCGATTTATCACTGTGACGTCTACTGCAAGATTTCTGTAGACGCTGCTTCTCAAGTTCAATCTATTCCTTTCCATTCCAATTGGAATAGGCTAAGAGGTTTTTTTGTTACTGGTTCTGGTTTTTAATCATTAGGGTGTGTCAAACTTATCACATGCTTTTCTTCCCCATATACTGAGATTTTTATCATTTTCCATCTTTTTTCAATTAATATGGTGAATCACACTGAGTAAGTTTTGAATGACAACATAAGAGTGGATTCTTAGGATAAGCTCAACTTGGCCATGACTGTATCATCATCTTTTAAAAAAAAATTTATTTCATTTTTTAAAGGTAAGCTGTATACTCAACATGGGGTTTGAACTTACAACCCTGAGATCAAGAGTTGCATGTTCTACTGACTGAGCCAGCCAAGCACCTCTATACGTAGACTTACTTTTATACAGATTCAGTATTATTTAGTTTACGATTTCTCCATCCATATTTATTAGAGAAATTAGTCTATTATTTCCCTTCTTATAATAACCTAACCAGGTCTGGGAATTAGGATTATAGAAGTTGAAAGTGTTTTCTCCTTGTCTACTTTAAGATTTTATTTATTTGTTTATTTGACAGAGAGAGCACAGGCAGGGGGGCTGGCAGGCAGAGGGAGGGAGAAGCAGGTTCCCCATCAAGCAGGGAATCCAATGCAGGGCTCCATCTCAGAACCCTGGGATCAGGACCCAAGCTAAAGGCGAATGCTTAACTGAGCCCCCCAGGTGCCCCTCCTTGTCTATTTTCTATAAGAATTTGCGTACGATTAAGGTTGTTTCCTCCTTAGACAGTGAAGTGCACCAATGAAGCCATCTGGATTTTATAGGAGGGTTTTAAATAAGGGGTTAATTTCTTTAATTGATTCAGGCCTATAGGATTTTGATGGACTCTTGTCTCACATTTAGATCTTTCATCCATTTTGAGTTTATCTTTGTGTCTGGTGTAAGAGAATGGTCTAGAGTCATTCTTCTGCATGTGACTCTCCAATTTTCCCAGCACCATTTACTGAAGAGACTGTCCTTTTTCCAGTGGATGGTCTTTCCTGCTTTGTCGAATATTAGTTGACCATAGAGTTGAGGGCCCATTTCTGGGTTCTCTGTTCTGTTCCATTGATCTATGTTTTTGTCCCAGTACCACTCTGTCTTGACGATCACAGCTTTGTAGTACAACCTGAAATCCGGCATTGTGATGCCCCTGGCTCTTGTTTTCTTTTTCAATATTCCCCTGGCTATTCGGGGTCTTTTCTGATTCCACACAAATCTTAAGATTAACTCCAGGGTATTTTGATGGGGATTGCATTGAATGTGTAAATTGCCCTGGGTAACACAGACATTTTCACAATATTAATATATTATTAATATATTATACACATTAATCCTTCCAATCCATGAGCATGGAATATTTTTCCATCTCTTTGTGTCTTCTTCAATTTCTTTCATAAGTGTTCTGTAGTTTTTAGGGTATAGATCCTTTTTACCTCTTTGGTTAGATTTATTCCTAGGTATCTTATGCTTTTGGGTGCAATTGTAAATGGGATTGACTCCTTAATTTCTCTTTCTTCAGTCTCATTGTTAGTGTATAGAAATGCCACTGGGGATCCCTGGGTGGCGCAGCAGTTTAGCGCCTGCCTTTGGCCCAGGGTGCGATCCTGGAGACCCGGGATCTAATCCCACATCGGGCTCCCGGTGCATGGAGCCTGCTTCTCCCTCTGCCTATGTCTCTGCCTCTCTTTCTCTCTCTCTCTCTGTGACTATCATAAATAAATAAAAATTAAAAAAAAAAAAAAAGAAATGCCACTGATTTCTGGGCATTGATTTTGTATCCCACCACACTGCCTAGTCAGATTTCCTGTTTTGGTATTATTTTTCAAAAAACTTAATATTTTTACATTTAGTGGCACAAAACTATTCATAATATTCTTATATATTTTAATTATCATTTTAGTATCTGTAGCAATGATTCTCAATTTTTTGGTCTCAGGGCCCTTTTACATTTTAAAAAATTACTGATGTCTTCCAAAGAGCTTTTGTTTATGTACATCTCTTAATATTTACCCTTAGCAGAAATTCAAACTGAGAAATTAAAAAAAATGCACTAATGCATTTAAAAATAATAGACCTATTACAAAAAGTTCCATGAATAACATCTCTTATGAAAAGTAACTATTATCTAAAACAAATTTAGTAAGTGTTGTATTTCATTTTTATAATTTTCTTTAACATTAACTTAATAGAAGAGAGCCAGAATTTCATACATGCTTCATTCAATATGTTGCAAAATGGTGTTTCAGTTAAAATATATAAAGAATATGCAGTCTTATGTAAGTCTGTAATTGGAAAAGCCAGGAGTATTATAATAGCCTTTTTAGATAATTATGGATATTCTTCTTGGATACTATACTAAATCATGAGTGCTTCAGTTGCCTTTGCTTTTGATGTCAAATCAAAAAAAAAAAAAATCATTGCATGGCCAGTGTCAAGGAGCTTACCCCCTATGTTACAGAATGTGATTTATAAAATTATTATTCTATAATGAAATGTGTTAACATTTGGAAGATCTGCACCAGTGTTTTCCACACGACCAATGTGTAATGACCCAAAGTTATGCATGGCTAAGAAGGTCCATTCAAAGTGCAAGATAGACCAATAGATTTCAGTGTAGCAGAGTATGAACAATAAATTAATATGGTTTCAGATTCCACATTGCTTCTAATATTTAAGAATGACTCTAGACCATTCTCTTACACCAGACACAAAGATAAACTCAAAATGGATGAAAGATCTAAATGTGAGACAAGAGTCCATCAAAATCAGACATTTAGAGTCCAGGAAGGTTGAGAATAACTGCCAAACATTTTTAATAAGAGGATATTCTTTTCCTCTTGCAGTTAGGTTAAGGAAATAATTCTCAAACTTTCATCCACATCAGAATTTCTTAGGGAGCTTGTGAAATACAAATTGTTAGGCCCCACTGAAGTCCTGATTCAGTATGTCTGGAGTAGGGTCTGAGAATTTGCGTTTCTAATTAGGGCTCTGTGATGCTTCTGACCTGGAGACCATTCTTTGAGAACTACAGGGTCAAGGCAAATGATCCTCATCTACCCTGAGATGGAGCTGACTGGAAACTAGCCTTCAGTCTTTGCAAGGGCTGGTCTATTTCTGGGAAGCCCTTAGTTCTAGAATGTAGCCCTTCAGTGGTCTCAGATGAATGTATGGGGCCCCACTTCCTGAACTCCAGTTTTTGTTCCCTCAGCTCCATGAGACTATTGAAAATCCTGCCCAGTTTCTTAGTCTTGTAGCTATGGCTTTATTAATCAGCAAATGCCTCAAGTGGGAAAGCACAGCCAAATGTTGGGTTCACCTCTTTATGACTTCCTTCTCTCCAGGATCTTGATCCCTCAAGTCCTCATTTTCTTAATAACTCTCCAATACCTTCAAAGATACTTTCTAATATCTACCCAGTTTTCCTACTTATTCTCAGTGGGAGAGTTTGTCTAATAAAAGATAATACTAGGGATCCCTGGATGGCTCAGCGGTTTGGTGCCTGCCTTCGGCTCAGGGCGTGATCCTGGAGACCTGGGATCGAGTCCCACACTGGGCTCCCTGCATGGAGCCTGCTTCTCCCTCTGCCTGTCTCTCTTCCTCTCTCTCTGTGTGTATGTGTGTTTCTCGTGAATAAATTAATACAATCTTAAAAAAAAAAAAAAAGAAATGCAATAATAGCAGGATTAAAAAAAAAAAGATATACTATATCCTGAAGCAGAAGTCTCCAACCAAGCTATATTTTAACAGTCACACTTTTCCTCTCAATGTGTATTAGTAAATTGAAATTCTTTTTTTTTAAGATTTTATTTATTTATTCATTAGAGACACAACACACACACACAGAGAGGCAGAGACACAGGCAGAGGGAGAAGCAGGCTCCATGCAGGGAGCCCGACGTGGGACTCGATCCCAGGACCTTGGGATCACAACCTGAGCCAAAGGTAGATGCTCAACCACTGAGCCACCCAGGTGTCCCAGTAAATTGGAATTCTGATACATGTATCAATCCACTGTATGTTTGGATAGGTTTGAGTCCTTACTTAGTATCTTCCTCTCCTCTGGGTGAACTGAAAAAAATTAAGTCTCCAAACCTACAAAGTCTGGACCAGCTCCCAGGGACTAGCTCCCCATGAAATTCCATCTGGGTTACCCACCAGCCTACTCACATGTCATTTCTACCCGCAAAATATATATGGCATCAGTATTATACTTCATTATTGACTGTTAACCTTCCTTTGCATATTAGGAGCCATAGTGAAAGAAAAGAGCTTCAAACTGGCTTATCCCACTGCATACTCAAGAGTTTTATTGAATGAGAGAAATAGAGTTAGTAAAAACAGGACTGGTAGATCAGATCAATAACACTGTATCTGACTTGAAATCTTAAGTATTTGAAATCATACACATTTTTCATGGAAAAGTTAGAAGACAAAAATGTAAAAACAAAAATAAACTAAAATTCCACCACATGAAAATAACCCATTTTCATTCTATTTCATCTATGTCTAGATTATTATCTATGTACTTATCTATGTATTTAGTATATTATTATTTTTAGTGAATAT